GTCCCCCGGTGGATCTACTCCAAAGCTGGTGAGGCTGAAGATCCAAACTCCTCTCTTGCCTGACTCCCTTCTAAGGCATTAGATGAACTTTGGCAATGTGTCCTCACGGCTGTGTGTCGTCACAAGTTTGTAAACCTAAGATAGAACTCATCCATACTGCGTCTTTCTGTTCTGATCTGCCTTCCATCGCATAACATTTCCTTCCACTTGTATTGGATGGCATTGGAGGCCAGTATTTTCTTCTTCTTTTCTGAAGGAGAAGTTGAGGTGGCATTTTCAGCTTAGTCAACTCTCATGAATCTATGTAGTTTTCTGTCATATCAAAGTCTATTCAGGAATCAATATATTCTTGCTAGCCTTCGTGATACAAGTATGGCTTCCAGGAATATTCTTAACTGCCCTGTATTCCAGGAATACTCTTAAATACCTTGTATTAGGACATGGAGATGTAAGACTAGAAATCATATCATGATATGACTGGATCCCACGGCACCCAGAACCAGAGCACGTAGGAAATGAGGCGGAAACAAGATCTGAAATGTACGAAGCCATAACTTAGTCTGTGGAAAATTCTTCCGAGAGTCACACAAGTAAAACTGTAAGCGGAGGACGGATTCCCGTCCACTCTTAGACAAAATGGTATTTCCTTCCTGTAGGATAACATAAAAATATACTGCCATGAGGACATCTATGACACATTGGAAAATGAAGGTCATCAAGTCAGAGAGTATTTAAGACTCATCCCTGAACAAGAATACTTGAAATGTTCCCAAATCTTACACCTATTTTAGGAAATAACTTGATAAGCATTAAAATTACCATTAACAAGTTGTGATTTAAAAAAAAAAAAAAAAACATTTTCAAGCTCTTAATAATATAAAACAAGTGTTGGTCAACCATGCTGGTATCAAAAATACGTTACAGATTTTTATTTTTTTATTTTTTATTTTTTTTATGTTTGTTTTAAAATTTTTTTTTAACATTTTATTTATTTTTGAGACAGGGAGAGACAGAGCATGAAAGGGGGAGGGTCAGAGAGAGGGAGACACAGAATCCGAAACAGGCTCCGGGTTCTGAGCCATCAGCACAGAGCCCCATGCGGGGCTGGAACTCACGGACCGCGAGATCATGACCTGAGCCGAAGTCGGCCGCTTAACCGACTGAGCCACAGGCGCCCCAAGATTATTTTTAAATAGGAGGGTTTCCCCTTGTTCCAACTGAAGAAGAAGCAGAATCTGCATTGCAATTTAAAAATCAGAAAACATGGGGCGCCTGGGTGGCGCAGTCGGTTAAGCGTCCGACTTCAGCCAGGTCACGATCTCGCGGTCCGGGAGTTCGAGCCCCGCGTCAGGCTCTGGGCTGATGGCTCAGAGCCTGGAGCCTGTTTCCCATTCTGTGTCTCCCTCTCTCTCTGCCCCTCGCCCGTTCATGCTCTGTCTCTCTCTGTCCCAAAAATAAATAAACGTTGAAAAAAAAATTTAAAAAATCAGAAAACATCACCGCTGTGAACAAACCCAGAAGATCATAAAAGAAATAAATAACAGAGCAAAGCTATTGACAAATGCGTTTTGAGGTCATAGAAGTGTGGGAATGACACACGTCTATATTTGTGGACAGAGGAGGAGGAAACAAATGTAGGAGGGAATAATCTGCTGCTCTTGAGACTAAAGAAGTGACTTCTAGAACGTAAGGATATATAACCTAAGTCTTTCGAGAACCGTTTTAGTTCTCAACCAAAAATCAAAACTTGTGACTGGTGGTTTATGGAGAAGTAACAGGATAGGATCTCAGACGGATTAAAGACGTGGTAAGCCAACATTACTTTATTAAGAGAATCACTGAATTTGTACTAGATATCAGAATATCCAGAGAAGTTAAAGTACCAGTTTCTCCTCTCTGATAGTTTATCTACAATTTGAGACCAGGAAAAACTCATTATACTACTGTTTCAACATTGAGATTATGTTCCATTCATTTTCTCTCATTTTTAAATTTTTTTTTTCAACATTTATTTATTTTTGGGACCGAGAGAGACAGAGCATGAACGGGGGAGGGGCAGAGAGAGAGGGAGACACAGAATCGGAAACAGGCTCCAGGCTCTGAGCCATCAGCCCAGAGCCTGACGCGGGGCTCGAACTCACGGACCGGACCGCGAGATCGTGACCTGGCTGAAGTCGGACGCTCAACCGACTGCGCCACCCAGGCGCCCCTCTCTCATTTTTAAAAAATTTAATCATACATGAGAGAATTTTATATCTGTTTAAATCTTAAAATTGTTTTATTCCTTATTAATAAGGTAGTTGAAATCATGAAATGCCTTTCCTCTCATAAAATGATTAAAAGGATTTGCTTCCTATTTTTTCTATGATGAATTCTAATTCACATCTCACAAACAGAAAGACTGCTTTTCATTACTGAGCTATAGTGAGGAAATAGGATGGGACAGAAATATATGCACTTTTTTTTACTTAAAATGTTCATTCAGATTCTCGGGGCGCCTGGGTGGCGCAGTCGGTTAAGCGTCCGACTTCAGCCAGGTCACGATCTCGCGGTCCGTGAGTTCGAGCCCCCGCGTCGGGCTCTGGGCTGATGGCTCAGAGCCTGGAGCCTGTTTCCGATTCTGTGTCTCCCTCTCTCTCTGCCCCTCCCCCGTTCATGCTCTGTCTCTCTCTGTCCCAAAAATAAATAAACGTTGAAAAAAAATTAAAAAAAAAATGTTCATTCAGATTCTTGAAACATTTTGGCACACTCCAGTAGTCTTATACTTTGAAAAAAAAAATGGGTCTCTAAGTCTCATGTCCGAAATGAGCATTTAATCTATTAATTTACATTTTTTTTCTGAGCAAACCAGTACAAATATTCTTATTTGGTTCCATACTCTAAATAATCTTACGAAAGATAATGACCAGGTCATCTTTGAAACAATACTCACTGAATGAAAGAGTTGATTTCCTGAGTATTAGAGAAAGGAAGCCCTAGTCAGAGAATCAAGTGCGATTTCTGTGAAAAGGAAAAATCGCATCACCTGTTCACACGTAACCTGATGTTATTTCTACACGATCAGCAGAGAAAAGCCGACCTCAACCACAAACTCTTACAGGGCTTGGTCACGGCTACTCATTGTGTGTGGAAAAATTTCCTTTGTTCTTCGTGCACTGATGAAAATTTAACACAATTGACAAGAAATCCTAAACTAATAGAACTAAAACATTCTTTTAGGATTGCGTCTCATAACTTCTCTGGTACCAATGTGTTAACATAAAGATTTGAGTTGTTGATCCTGGGAGACAGTATATATGGGCACAGTGCAGAAATACAGTGGTGTAAACAGTGTCTTAGTAACTAATGAAATACACAACTGTGAATCATAGAATTTGAGTGTACAAGGAGACAATGAAATGGGCTACGTTTGTAATTTTGGAGCTGAAATCAACCGTAGATATTAAGCGTTGCTCCAAATTTGTCCTCATAGCTCTTAAAAAGTGCCGATTACTGGTCCCCAACCCAGATGATTCTAGTCCAATAGACTTGGGGCAGTACATGCGAATATATATTTTAAACAAAAACTCTCCAGATTATTAGGACTCACATCATAACATGGAGCCATCGATCTAAACTAACAGTTCGGTTTTGAAAACGAAAAGAAAACACACCTTACGACGTTAACTGCTCACCCAGATAACTGTGATAAAGAAGAAACTGGAACACAGCCTACCCGACTCTCTCTCCAGCATTCTTCTTATCATATAATGTTGCGTTATTAATTATTGCATGTTATTGCAAGAGTGATCCTTTTACTTCCATAAGTGTACTTTGACTAAAATGAAGGCGATAGGGGCGCCTGGGTGGCGCAGTCGGTTAAGCGTCCGACTTCAGCCAGGTCACGAGTTCGAGCCCCGCGTCAGGCTCTGGGCTGATGGCTCAGAGCCTGGAGCCTGTTTCCGATTCTGTGTCTCCCTCTCCCTCTGCCCCTCCCCCGTTCATGCTCTGTCTCTCTCTGTCTCAAAAATAAATAAACGTTGAAAAAAAAAATTTTTTTTTAAATGAAGGCGATAGCTTAAAAGAGAAGTTAAGTAAAATAGAGCATCTTGCTATTTTTATTACCCCAAATATCTGTCTTTACTAGCCGGGTCATATGCCAGGTCGTATTTTCATTTAGTGCCCAAATCACGCTATTCCAAGCTCTATTCTTTTTTTACAGAAGGACGTCAGCATTCACAAGCTTCCCCTCCTCAAATCTGATTCCAGGGAGATTTTTACCTCTTTTTTACCAATAGGCATTAAATATTTATTACTTCGGCCAGGATTGTTCTAGAAGGTAAAACTCAACTACGTAGAAGTTGAGTAGCTTAACTTCTACGTAGTTGAGTAGCTTGCCCAGAGTCACAAGAGGAAATAAGCAGAAAGTCGAGGCTTCCCCCAGACAGCCTGGTTCCTACGCTTAATATCAAGCCACTACCCTCTGTGGTCGAGATGCTGGAGCTCTTGGCCAAGCTACTCCCCAGGCAAAATCCGAGGGGCCTTCCCAGTCCCAAAAGGTTGAGATTCCACAATCCCTCGCCTCCCTCTTGGTTTCTTAGAGTTGTTGTTGATGCACTTCCCTCAGGGAAGCCCCAAGGGGCCCACGGTCTGAAGCTGCCTTCTCAAACACGACTGGAGAGAATTTAACTGCCAGACTACCCCCCCCCCCCCCGTAAATTCTGGGGGGCTGAGCCAAGACCACTGCTGGCCATGTGGTACCCTTCACACACAGGGGAAAAAGCTCCCCTGGTGGAGGACGGAGTGGGTAAGGACACTTTTCCTAAAGGTATCTGCTCTGTGTTGAACAATTACATAAAGGTGCCCCAGCTGGGCCTGGGGTGGCGCCTCCTTCGCAACCCACCCAGATGCAGGATTTCTGGGTTTTCTTACACCTGATCGCTCCTCTCGCCGTTTTCTCCCTATACAGCTTTGGCAGATTTTTTTTTCTTTTAACCCAAAACTGTTGGCTTTAAAATTACCTTCGCCACTGGCTGGAGTATTTTGCCTCAGAGATGCCGTTCTGTGCAACTGACAAATATAGGGACTGTGCAGCCGGAAGGCTTTCGTGATATTGGGCACACAGGCACAACACCGTTGGGCTCATTGCCAGGACCAGCGGTAGGTTTGATGCTCCTCCCCGTAAAGAAATCAGTGCTCTCCGGTGTGTTTTCTTTCTGTTCCGTGATGAAACTGGAGGGCTCTGCAGAACCCTCAACGGAAGAAACAACGTTATCGGGTCTCAGCCGGAGGAAGTGGTGCACCGGCTTTGCTTAGTTTCCTCCTTGCAGAGGCGGTGGGAAGCAGGGGAGCAGGGGGTGGGGGTGGGGACATGAGGTGGGTGGGGGACAAGCGGCGCTCGCGGGTCCCCGCAGTGCGGCGCGCGCGCTAGCCGGCCGGTCCTCCCGCGCGTCCCCCAGTCCCTGCGTGCGGATAGGTGGGTGGGGACATCCGGCGCTCGCGGGTCCCCGCAGCGCAGCGCGCTCTGCCGGGTCTTTCCTCCGCGCGTCCCCCGGCGCCCCTGCGTGCGTGCGTGCGGTGGCGCTCTCCATACGGGACTGGAGGAGTCGGGGGAAGTGGCGACATCTCCCTCCTTTGCCCGGCGGGCGAGTTCCCCGGAGCTCCAGGGGCGCTGCCATCCCTCCTACCCCCTCTCACCCTCGGCTATTTTCCTACCCAGGGCTCCTGCCCCGGTGCCATCCCTCCAGAAGGGGGGGTGGGGGTGGGGTGGGGGGGGGGCGCGCTGGCCGGGGAGGAGACGCTGATTCTGGATTAAGGGAGGCCCCCGGTGACCTGGACAGGGCCAGTTTTGGTGACGTGGTAAGGGAAAAACAAAAGCAAGCAAACAAACCAGACTTACCCCTACGGGTTCAAGAGAGGACCGAGGAGAAGTGAAGAGGGGATTGTAGGCCTCCTTTCTGAAGAGCTGTAACCGCTGGGAATTGTAATCGACACAGTGCAATCGTGGTTAAAGCTATAGATCTTTAACCCGAAAGGATCCTTAACTTTTCTAGACATTGGTTTATGTTAACTTATTTAGGAGTGAAATCGGTTTGCTTAAAACCATCGTTTTACCCCTGCCAGAGAATTAATCTCCGAGGCACTAGGACGCAAAGTGAGTTTGGATGGAGTGGCTGGCTAAGGGTCGAGAGTCATCTGATAAGAGCAACATTGTTTGCAAGGGTGGGTCCGGTCACAGAGGACTGTGGCGGGACTGGAGCATCGAAGTTTCAAGATGGGGAGTAGAAACTGGGAAGGAGAACACTGAAAGAATAAAGTTGAATGGCAATAAGAAAAACACAATATCCTTCACAAGGCTTCCGGAGGCTCCCCATGCTGACAGTCGTCACATTATCTTATTTACATTTTGCCACCGGAAGCCTCTAGATCTCTACTTGTTCATCAGAGACATCGCCTTACCAAGAAACATGCTAGTGGTTTTCAGAGAAGAACGACACCTGGTTGGAGAGCCGAACAATGTGCAAAGAAAAACATAACTGCTGTGGTCATGACCCAGAATCCAAACAAACACGTGAGGACTTGAATACATGCCTGGAAATGTCCATAGTTGGTTAGTTAGTTAGTAAGGGAATTGTCTCTGCAATTATGTTTTTGTTATTCCTTTCTGTGACATAACAAGAAAAAAAAAAACAACTAATAATCCATTGTGAGAAGAGGATTTTGAGTCAGTCATTGAGTAACTACCCATTGGTTACTATCTTTAGTTCCTAGGAAACATAACAAACAGGTGCCTCTCCACCTGAGGGTATCATAGAGTGAACTAGCAGAGATAGTCAAGGATTTTTTTGCTGTCAAAGAGCCTTTCGGAAAAATGCTCAAATATCCTGTCAGCAATGCTGATAATGTAATTTTGGGGTGTTGTTCAAGTTTAGAAGATCTTCATTGCTGTTTCCCAAATGAAGTACGACCTGCTCTTCACACAGGGCTTCTAATGGGGGTGTCCTTAGCTCCACGACAAAGCATTGGCCGGAACTTGACTCTTCGCTGTACCTGCCGGCAGTTCTTTATTTTCACTGCTCGTTGGGCAGGACTCAACACCATCCCCTGTCACCATCACAAATCCTTCATTCCAGAGCATAATAGGACGCATATGTGTTACTGAAGGTTTATAGAGAGTTTAATCAGAGAGGATCATAGTGCATGGGATACACCATTTTTTAAAACGACACCATTTCTTGCTTCCATGCCGTTTATTTCTTGAAAACAGAGCAGACAGCTGATCTCCCTGATGTCACCACTGCCTTCTAGGTATTGCTTCAGGAGAATCACACAACTTTAAGGGCATCTGGCTCCGGAAGTTCACCTACCCAGCAGCATGCCTTGAGTTCACACTGCTGGAGTAAGCTCTAAGAACCTTCCCCTTTATTTATCTTTCTTCAATCGTGTGTTTTGTGTCTACACATTCTAGTCCATTCTTCTTAACCTACTGTCTTAAACAGGACGTATGGAACAAAATGAAATGTGGGCTAATGATTTACTCTGAACATGGACTTTAAAGCCATGCCGTAATATAATGAAGGCTTCATGAAAAACGGGTCCACGGGGTTGTACAATTCCAAATTAAGGGACTCAAAGTGACAAGACTTTTGTGTCAATGCATCTGCTTTTTATTGCTGCTGTCATCCCTTGCTGCTGAAACTTCTGTTCCTCTGTAGGCATATTTTCATCCCTTACTTCTCATCCACTGTTTATATATAGCTTGTGAACCGATCGAAGAGTCAAGCCCCTTGGAATTGTGCGTAGTATAACTACAAAACTGATTTTGAATCCAGATCGGAATGGGACACTCTTCTGAAAGGTACATATTAGCTTTATTTTGAGCACATTGTTTCAGCAGACCTCTATAAATTGACAGGGTATTTTAAAGTATTTATGTCTCTGCTTATTAATTTATATTTTTTTATTTTGAACTCAATTACGGGACTTTTTCCTCAAATAAAATTTAGTCAAATGTTTTAACTCTTGAGTAGTATACAGTTTCTGGTGACTGAATGCACATTTCCTAATGTATAGAAGCAGCGTGTGTCAAAGATGTCCTGGGAGTGATTCAGTTAATAGGGTTCCATATTTTCCCTTTTACAAATAAGGCTGCGGGGCGCCTGGGTGGCTCAGTCAGCTAAGCATCCGACTTTGGCTCAGGTCATGATCTCGTGGTTTGTGAGTTCCAGCCCCAGGTTGGGCTCTGTGCCGACATCCCAGAACCTGGAGCCTGCTTCAGATTCTGTGTCTCCTTCTCTCTCTGCCCCTCCCTTGTTTGCACTCTGATTCTCTCCTTCTCAAAAATAAATAAACATAAAATTTAAAAGGAAAAAACAGATAAGGCTGCAAGATACATTACTACATGGGTACTTATTCTGAGATTTTCTCCCCATTAGAAAAGTACAAGTATATATACATTCATATATATATATATATATATATATATACACATATATATATAGGTGTGTGTGTATATATATAGCAAGTACATTCTTCAACTTTATTGGATATTGACAATTTTTTCTTAAAAAGTACAAGTATATATATTCTTCAATATCTATATCTGTAGAAAGTATATATATATATGTATATATATATATGTATATATATATATATATGTATATATATATATGTTCTTCAACTTTATTAGATATTGACAAATTTTTCTTAAAAGTAATTTAACTGGGACACCTGTATAATTGAGTCTATTAAATGTCTGACCCTTGGTTTCAGCTGAGGTCATGATCTCACAGTTTGTGGGTTCAAGCCCCGTGTTGGCCTCTGGGCTGACAGTAATCATTTATACTTTTATTAGACAATAATGAGAAGTATAGAAAATGATTGGTCCTTGACTCCTCAAATATTGCCTCTCTTATTTTTTTCTTTTATTTTTTTCCCCTAGAATTTTTATTAGACATTTTTTGGAATGTTCTCATTCATCATTCAGGTTTTGAAATGTCTTACATATTTTTAATCTTTTTATTATCCTCAGTTTTAACTGAATCAGTTGTTCTCCACTTCATTAAAAAATTTACTATTATGTTTTTCATTTGTGAAAGCTGTATTCACTTATGTAAAAATGTTATTCTTGAGGTGCCCGGGTGGCTCAGTTGGTTGAGCATCCAACTCTTGATTTTAGCTCAGGTCATGATCTCAGGGTCATGTGCTTGAGCCTCACATGGGTCATGTGCTTGAGATTCTCTCTCTGCCCCTCTCTGCTGCTCACATTCTCTCTCTCTCTAAAAATTAATAAGTAAATAAATAAATAAGTTCTTGTTGTGGCTTCTTCTGTTTCTAATCCTCCTGTTTGTTGCTTCTGTTGACTCAGATAGTGTTTTTGGTTTTCTATTATGAACTAACCTTCGGTATGAATTTTCCCACATTGTGGAAGTGTCACTCCAGAATAGTTTTTTTTTTTTAATTTTTTTTTTTAATTGACGTAAAATCGGCATAATGTAAAATCAACTCTTTTAAAGTGGATAACTCAGGGCTCCTGGGTGGCTCAGTTGGTTGAGCATCCAGCTTCTGCTCAGGATGTGATCTCACAGTTAATGAATTCAAGCCCCACATCGGGCTCTGTGCTGACAGCTCAGAGCCAGGATCCTGCTTCCGATTCTGTGCCTCCCTCTCTCTTTCTGCCCCTTCCCTGCTCATACTCTCTCTCTCTCTGTCAAAATAAATAAACATTAAAAAAACAAGTTAAAGTGAATAACTCAGTGGCATTTAGTTCGTTCACAACATTGCTAAACCACCACCCCTACCTGGTTCAAAATCATTTCGATTATCACAAGAGGAACCCTCATACTCATTATGCAGTTGCACCCCATTTCTCACCACCACAGGTAGCCCCTGTCAACCACCAAGCTGCATCTGTTTCTGTGTTTTCACCTCTCTGGATATTTCATATATACGGAATCCTACACTGGGTAACCTTTTTTGTGTGGCTTCCTCCACTTAGCATAATGTTTTCAAGGATCATCCACATTGTAGCGTGTGTCAGTGCTTCATTTTTTTTTAATGTCTAAATAATACTCTTACTCCAGAATCGGTTTGCATTTGTTTCTGCTCGTCACCGTGGACTTATTGATGGTTTAACATCATTGTGTGTGTGTGTGTGTGTGTGTGTGTGTGTGTGTGTGTGTGTCAGTTTCATGCCCCCGTGTGGCAAGACCAAAAGCAAACAAAACATAAATATCAAAATCAAGAGAAGCTCCAGCCCTTTTTTGCTTTCTGCTGTAAGCTCGAGTGCCTTACGTCAAGATGGGCAAGTTCACGGA